CAAGAAATTTTTTCATTACTAAATTACTATAGCACCTCAAAAGAAATCAACAAGTAAATTAATCTTTTTAAAATTTCTCTTAAAAGTTCTTTATTAAATATAATGAAAAAAATTTTTTTATAGAAGCAACTGCTAAAAAAGCAACTTCTGTTAAAAAACAACACCTATTAGAAAAGCAACACTTGTTAAAAAGATAACCCCAGTTAGAAAAGCAGCCTCAGTTAGAAAAGTATTTCCAATTAGAACTCAGAGATATTTTTCTATTAGTATATTTATTCTTTTAATATATTCTTATTAATATTATTGCAAGTGAGTATAAAATATATATATACTATTTGATTTGTAATAATTTTTTTGATATCACTAGTCATTAGTTCTGAAGCGAATATCGAAGAACAACGAATTGAAAATCAAATTGAAGTAATTATGGATAATGAAGAGGATAATTTAAGAAGAACGATTTAAGGAAGAATGATTTAAGGAAGAATGATTTAAGAGAGAACAATTTAAAGGAGAATGATTTAAGGGAGGATGATTTAAGGGAGGAATGTTTAAGAGAAAATAGTTTAGAAAAAGATAATAGTCATGCAGAAACACCAGGTATGTATTAAATAATGTGTAATTTAGGTAATTTCTTAAATATAATCTAATGTTTTAGTTATATTTAATTTTAGACGGTTTAGATTATTCTTTCAATAATGTTTGCTTTTTATATTAAATGATTATATATATATCAAATTTGAATATACTAGATGAACTTATAATATTTTATTTGTTGTATAGTTCATAATTTTGATAAAGTATTAGCAAGCAAGAAAACTCTACATACAGCAATATCTTCAAATCTATAGTTGAAGATACTGCGGTGGAGCTATCTTTACTTTCATCTATAGATGAGAATTTAACAAGTATAGAAATTGTAACTTCAACCAAAACATCACATAAGGGTAAGAATTGTTTGTTTTAATATAATATGATCTAAAGCTATGTTAATAATTTTGCAATATTTTGATAGACAATGAAAATAATTTTGAAAGGCATAATTTTCCTCAAAAAACTTTTACAACACTTTATAATTCATTTGATAAGTTCGAAGCTGCTAAGTGGATAGCTTTTCATCCTGATGTTTTAAAGTTAGCCATTATTATACATAATGTGAGGAAAAATAAATTAAAAGATAGTGATGAAATATCTTCTAATACTACTAAAATATTTTCAAATACTACTAATTCATGCGATTCTATAAATCTTCCAGAAATTTATAAAGTAAATCTTTATATATTTTAATAATTACTGTATCTGTAAACTTATAGTATATTTTAATATTAAAGAATGAAATATTCGCTACAAGAAGAATACAAAGTCCTCTTCTTACGAACAAGAAACAATAACAAAGAACTATATAAAGAGCTGGCTATAAAAGTATGCAATATCAAGAAAAGTGATCATTAAATAGCAACGTTAACTAAAGATATTGCTAGTTGATTTGATATTTATCATTATAAATTGCATATTGCTATTTTAAATCTTGCAGTTGAATTTTCTGAAACACATGAAATATAAGTATTTAAATAGTGGTTACATATATTATCCAAAATTTAAACAGAACATTTAAAAAATAATATTATCATATTGACTCAAAATTACACTCCGGAGCATTATCTAGGAGTATGCAAATTGAAGAGAGCTAATAGCTAAATTATCCTTCAAATTGCATACCCCTAAATAATGCCCTGGGAAATTATTTTGGGTAAATATAGTATTAATTAATTTTTAGAGAAGGGGAGCCATCAATTAGTAAGTTATCTGAATTCATAAGCGAAGATGTCTGGAAGAAAGTACTCCAACTGCATTTGAAAGCCACTGATTATCCAGTTCTAAAAAATAATTCTGTGATGTTTACAAAGCTTGGCACTTTCGTATATCAAGCAGTTAGAAAAGTTCTTGTTGCGATAAATAGTGAACAAGATACTAGAAATGCAATTAGGAAATGTGATGAAATTACTTTAGATTTACAAATTTTCTCTAAGCTTGGAATAGTTAAAACTTTACCTGTTAGAGAGCTTTTAACCTTTTAAATCAAACTTGTACTTTTTTTGCAAGTAAAATAGCTAATATTGCATAAGCATAGACATTCAGTTAGTTAGAAGTAGTTATGTAAGATCAAACTATCTGCGCATCTAGATTTGTCAATCAATACAGAAGTAGAGCTGTAGTTTGTGCTTATTAGTGAGCTATTTTGTTATATTTTTTTTCATTTTATTTTTATTGGGTTTGTTCTCAATCATGAGTTAGATATATCTCAATTTTTCTGTTTAGTATTTTTGATCTTGTTGTTGCTGGGAAAATTTATTCTGAAATTTTAGTCTAATTGTTATCAAAATCTTCTCAGAGTATTTAAAGAAACATTAGAATTCTCGATTAATTTTGCCTAAGTTTTCGATTTAGATTTATAGATTACTTACACATTCCTATATGGTCACGGCAAACTTTTTAATGGAGCTTTATCTCCTCGAAGTATACTGCTAACATGACATATTTGACACAAGGTTGATTAATAATTGATTTATCAAAAAAAGCGAGATAGAGGAAGTTGTTGTGTTGAATTTGTAACTAGAGATTTACAAAACAAATAGCATTGAATGTAAGTTATTTTATAGTGTTATCAACTGTAATTAAAAAAATTATTTAAAAACAGTAAATGAATATTGTGGCTAATTTCTATTACTTATATTTTTGATAGTAATTTAAACAAAATCTATTAGTTAAAAGCAAATATTCATTATCTTGGATTCCTTATAATAAATTTAAAAATATTGAAACAATAAGAAAAGGTGTATTTGTGACAGTAAATAGGAAATACGAAGTCTTGAACAGCCTGTTGCAATTAAATTGCTTCATAATTCAATGAGTATCATGAAGAATTTTAAAAGAGGTAATTTCATTTATGTGCTAATATGCTCAAAATTTTTTAAAAAGTTAATTCTTTATTTGTTTTAAGATGCTATGAGATATTGAAAGATAATATTTCTAGAAATTATATTATTCTTGTTATGCAATATACACCTAAGGGACCTTCGCATAATAATCTTCATTTTTAGTACAAATGAAATCGAAAAATTAATTTTATTGTAACGCATCTGATCTTCAGGTAATTTATTCTCATGAACTTACTTATTGAGAATTGCATAGCGGTAATATCCTACAAATAATTTATATAACTCTTATTATATTACTAGTCTGAAACTTAAATATCAATAAGTATAGTATCAAAGACAAAATGTTATAGAATTTCTAGAATTTACTGTATATAGCCCCAAAACTTTAACAGAGTTTAATTAATATTTATAAAGCAAATTTATTAAATTTACTACTACATGATTTATACAGGTAACTATATTATTCTTTCAATAATAAAATATTTTTTTAATATTAATTATCAGGTATCATTATATAATAGACAGCCGCCTTACAAATCTTGCATACTATCTTAATTTTTATACATTTACATACTATATATACTCGTTTGCAGAACTATTGTTTGATCTTGTAATAAGCTATATTTATTAATTTATTATCTTATTTGTAGTCACAAAAAAAAATCAATAAATGCATAATTCTTAGTCTAAAAGTGAGATTTGTATATCGATCTTTTTGAGTTAATTTTTTGAGCTAAAACGCACTTCAGCTTGAAAAATCTCAAATATGGAGGGCATTAAAATTTTTTTATATCTGTTAGGTTTTTTCTGGTCTTACTTGTTTTAACAATTTCTGAATTTAACTAATAGAAGCCTTGGATGTTACTAAATCGAATATTTACTAATGGTGATTATCATTATTATTATTATTATTATTATTATTATCATTATTACCATTATTAATATTATTACCATGATATTATTCCTATTATTATCATTATTACACATGCAGTCTTCTTTCACATTTTACAATTGATAATTTAGCATTCTATACAAAAAAATGATGTAAATTTAGGTAATTATTATTTTATACCAGTTTATTTATTACCTTAAGTGATAGAAATTTGATATCATATATTATTTGAAGAGATTGTATCTCAAAATTTGAAAGGTAATCTTTCATCCTTGCATTGGAATAAAGTTACCAAGAGCAAACTTTTAACATTAAGCATTAAAAGCTCATGATATAATTGAAGAACTGTAGATACAGACAAGCCTGTACGTTATTGGTAAAATACTGAATTTGGAACTTGCTATTAATATTTCTTTTGTTACATATTTTAAATTACCATTGAACCTTCCTAAACTGATATGCATGGTCAACAAATATTGTGTTAGTATTAAGAGGTTATCAAATATAAAAATATTGTAAATTATTAGATTTATATGTCAAAAATGGATTTGGTGAATTAATTATTATCAAATTTGACAAGTATCAGTTTGACTGGATAGGTTCAGCGATATATAATTATTAATTTTATTTTTAATATATAATTATGTTGTATTTTTATTTCAATTTTATTTATTAAATATCTTTTACATTAA